TCAAATGTTGCTGGAGCATTGCTAAGCTCGAATGGCATCACACGATATTGCCAGGGACCTAGGCCATAACTAAATGCAGTTTTAGGTTTATCTGCTTTAGCCATTTTCACTTGATGGAAACCCGACTTTAAGTCCAGAGTGGAAACCACCTGGCTCCATTTAGGGTATCAGGAGTATCATCAATTCTTGGCAGTGAGTATGAGTCCTTTTCAGTTATACTGTTAAGAGCCCTGAAGTCAACACAGCAACGTTGGGTCCCATCTTTCTTCTGGACTAACACGACGGGAGCTGACCAGGGACTATTTGATTTCTCGACTATCCCCTTCTTAATTAGGCCATCCATGACCTTTTCTATCTCTTGTCGCTTTTCCGTAGCTATTCTTCTTGGAGAGATCCTTATTGGACGGGGATTGCCTGTGTTTATTCTGTGCTCCACGAGATCTGTGCAGCCGAGATCATGATCTCATTTTGAAAAGACATCTGCATAATTTGCCAAAAGTTTCTTAACCTGAACAGCCTGTGATGATGAAAAATGGGCTATGCTTTTCGTATAGAGGTCAGTTAACTGTTCTGGGAGAAGATGTCCTTTCTTTATGGTCGTATTTCTTGCCTTAACACTGCTGGGCTCTACCTCCTGGCACACACCTAGTAATGCCCTACTTTAAGTTTCTGCTCACATTTAGAGAAATTAGCCACTGTTGTGGATACTACTTGATGACGTGCTACAAGTGACCTTCCAATCTTCATGTTTGCTGGTCTGGATGAGTCTTCCACAAACATTGTGCTTCCTTGGGGATGTTGTTTTATTCTACTCCCGATTATCTTCCCTTACATAGGGGTATTGTAGTTGACTTAAGTGCTGTGACATGCAAATCAACCCCGCGAATGTCCGAATGTTTGCCAGACGCCCTCTTTTTTAGTATAAAAGCCGGAAATAGATTGAAGAGAGATAATTGAGTCAAGCGAACAGTAGGCACCGTAAGTAAAGTATGTGAATTGCTGTGAATTATCGCAAGTTTTTATAAAAGTAGTAAAGTTAAAGTAACTATGGAAATTCTGTGTATTGCAAATTTGTATCGAGAAAGAATCAACTAGTTTTAATTAAAAAAGGACTTGTATCACTGAAGTTTCTCGGAAAGAATTTCTACAGGAAATTAACAAACAAGCAGGTACGTAACAATATGTTTTGTATATATATATTAAAAAATAACTTTTATATTTGTTTTTACATAACTTTATTTGCGTAGTCCTACAGTGTTTCACACTAAGTTTCAGGAGTTACAACGCTAAAAATTGGGGTTGGATACCCCGAGGTGTACAAAGTGCATATAGCCCATTGTGAGCTTTGCACTAAAAATACTGTTACGTCTCCGTTCGTTAATTAATTTTCTGTAACTTCCTTTCGACGAAACTTTAGCGACACAATTCCTTTCTTAAATCAAACTTGTTTATTCTTTCCGAATATAACTTTACCGATACACTTATTTTCAACAGTCACTCTATAACAATGCTATAATTCAAGTCTCACGAGGCCAACAATATTTTATCCGCATACATTCAATTACTTTTTACCTCTGTTCCGTCACATTGTGACCGTCTTATATATATATCAGACTACCCCAATCTAGTAATCTTCCGAAGGTTCGAGAAAGAAGTGGAGTGATACTAGTCACGTGACCTCGCTGACGCAACACTGCCCCTCCTTAGTATTGTTCGTCCCGAACAATAGCCACTTACATTAAACCAATAACAATTAACAATAACTTAATTAAAATGTACAGAATTACAAACACAAAATTACAATTCAACAAAGTCTCTTAATTTTTACGGGACGTATCTTCTTCCGTACTGGTCTCCGTCTCTTCATATGGGGTTCATCTGCTTCATCAGGAAATGTCCTATCGTCAATAACAGTCACATCAGTGGTAGTAACTTCACCAAGAGCTTCATCATTTTCCTTCTCAAACTGAGTAGAGTTTCTTCCTCGACGGTGGCTTTATCAGATGGTACATCTTCAGCAGCGTCATTTGTTCTGTTGTCCACTTCGTCCCAACTGAAATGTCCTGGACCGTGATAACGCCAAAGCCTGTTGGCATTCACCACTTTTGGCTTACCTCGCCGACCACATTTTACCTGGAAAGTCATGTCTGAGAGATGATCCACTACGTCATATGGGCCTTCCCATGGAGAAGACAACTTAGGAGACTTCCCTTTGGTCTTCCTGGGATTATACAATCACACCTTGTCTCCTGGTTCAAAGCTGACTTCAGTAGATCTCTTATCATAAGTTAACTTCATCGAATCAGCAGACGTTTTCAAGTTTGAACGCACTTGATGGTGAATATCATCCATCCTTTCTGATAACACTTTCACAAACTCTGACACATTTTCAGGCAACTCTTCATAAGGTGGACATCCCTTACGCTTGGGTCCCCTTTTAGCACTACATGTCCTGCACCATTCTTCCACATCTCGCCTCATACCTATCCAGTAAAATCTTTGTCTATGGTGACTCAATGTCTTCCTGATTCCGAGATGTCCTCCTGTTAAATTATCATGGGAATGACGCAGCACAACTTCCCGTAACCTCCTCGGTATAACTGTTTGCCAGATCGTCTCTTTCCCATCTGCAGTTTCCCATCTCCGGACAAGAATACCGTCTTCAGGCTTCAACTGGTCCCATTGTGCCCAATAGTGCTTTGTCACAGGTTTTAGACTAGACACCTCCTCCCAAGCTGTACGCGAAACACTTGCTTTAAAAAAATCAATTATTGGCTTCAAATCTTGATCTTTCTCCTGCTCTGCTTTAATATCGATACCTGGTTCCACTTCGTCCTCATCAACTTCTTTAGTTCAACCTCTCTTTTAACAGTTACCGGAACTTGGCCTTTGTTGTTCCCAAAAGTCATTTTATCAAAATTAATTACAAACTTCCTTGGTAGTAGATAGTTCAATCCTAATATGCATTGTTCTTCAGTGTCAGCCAAGTATACTTTCTGTCTGTCCTTTATGCCCATGAGCTCAATAGTTACCCACACTGGTCCCCACAATCTTGTAGAATGTCCTGTCACACCATAAAGCTTCTGTATAACTTCTGGTAGTCCTTCATGGTCTAAGTCCTTGATGCTCACAAGGGTTTGCTGAGACGCAGAGTCTATGACAAAGTTGCACCTTTGGCCATCCAGCTTTGCTGTCACATAGACGCTGTGTGTGTGCTTGGCATTTTACACCTAGCTGTTGGGACTTTCATGATGGGGGAGGTGGGCGTCGCTCAACACCAACCACTACTGGTCTCCTTGAGGCCGACTTGTTGGTAATATTCTTCCTACACTGGCTCCTCAATTGTCCATGCTTTCCACAGTTCCAACAACTTTTCTAGATACCAGCCTTTCCTGCTGTGGCATATCCCCTGTGTTGAAGTTGCCAA